CAGAGGCAGGCAAGTAGAGATCTGAGAAGAAACCCTGGGTTTCACAATGACTATTTGAAAATTCAAGAATTTCCCTGAAGAGTCTTTTGTAACTCCTTAAGGCAAAAGAAAGTTATTTTTTTAATTTAGATGTAGATTAAAGGAACATTTAGCTATTTCTTTGTTTATATTAAATGTAAATTAAATAACTATTATTTCTTTGTTACATTAACTGCTGTTATTCACAAAACAATTAGAAAACAACACAAGGCAGTGCTTCTTCAAGAACCAAGCCATGTGATATCAATGGCAGTGAAGGAAAGGAGAATAGAGCATTTGTCTATATCCTGACATTGTTGTTAAATCAACAGGGCTTTGCATAAACTGCCTCTATGCTGTATGCAAAGAATTTTCAAATTATTTTAAATAAGATTTTCAAATTCAAATTAGAAGTGATAAGAACAATTATATAAATTTATTTAAATAAAAAAATAGAAACATTGGATGTGAGTGGAATTTACTATGAGTTAATTCTCCAAATGACATTAGCCAAAAAGAGCATCAAAATTCCATAATTAGCTGTTAAATAGTAATTTCCAATATTTAGCAATGTGTAGAGACATTTTTGGATGTCATTACTGGGGGATACTACCAATATCTAACACATTAAAACCAGGGATGCAGCTAACCATTCTATAATGTGAAGGACAGGCTCCTGTAACAAGGAATTGCCTGATCTAAAATGGCAATAGTGCCATGGTTGAGAAACCCTTCACTAAACAAAGCATAAGCAGTCCATGGAATACTATATGGCCATTAAAAATAATCTTATAAATTAGTGATTTTTCAATTCTGTATATTAGGGTATGTGATGGATCACCTGAGGAGATCTTAAAATGCCCCATTCCCAATAATCAGGATCAAACTCTTTGGGATAGAATCTAGGCACAGCTGTGTTTTATATTCTTTCTTGGTGATAGAAATATATAGCCAGATGTGAGAGTCACTAATTTAGACCCACATTATATACAGACATTAAATAACATGGAAACATATATATTTTAAATTTAAATAAAGCATGTGGCAAAACTATGTACAGTGTAATTAAATTTCTATTAAAATATATACGAACTGTAAAATATATGTGCACTGTAAATATATGTATGCATTGTAAAATGGGACCAAAGTGTAAGGGCACTTATTTGTATATTCTTTCTCAGAATTAGTATGTATTTATTTGCAATAAAAGTCAATAAATCACTCTGTAAATAGTTTGACAGTTTCTTCTAAAATTAAATATACCATGACCGTACAACCCTGCAATTATACTCTTGGGCATTTATCTCAGAGAAACAAAAACTTCTGTTTACACAAAAATCTGTACATGAATGTTCCTAGAAGTTTTATTTGTAACAGCCCCAAATAGAGATAATCCAGTTGTCCTTTACCAGGTAGGTGGTTTAATACACTCTAGTACATCCATACCGTGGAGTACTACTTAGCAATAAAAATGATTAACTACTGAATTATGCTCAGTGAAAAAAAGTTAATCCCTAAAGCCAACATATGTATAACTGCAATTTATATAACATTCTTGAAATGACAAATTTTTACAAATGGAGAAGAAATTAGTGGTTTCAAGCAGGTGGAATGGGTGAAAGGGAAGTAGGTAGGATTATAAAAAGGCAACATGAGCAATCCCTGTGGTGATGGGAATTTCTTAATGTGGACTCCATCAATGTTAATATCCCAATATTCTTGTATAGTTTTGCAAGATGTTACCAATAGAGAAAAACAGATTAAAGGATTATGGAGTCTCTCTGAATTATTTCCTAAAATTGCTTGTAAATCTATAATTACCTTGTGTTAGGCAGCTTTTCATTGCTGTGACCAAAACACCTGACAAAAATAATTTAGTAGAGGAAAATTTTATTCTGGGCTCATGGCTTTAGAGGTTCAGTCTGTGGTTGGCCAGTTCCACTGCTCTGGAACCACAATGAGGCAGAACATGATGGTGAAGGGTGTGGAAGAGGAAAGCTTCTTAGCTCAAGGCAACTAGAGAGCAGAGAAAGCAAGGAGCCAGGGACAAGATATAATCCCCAAGGTCATGCCCTCAGTGACCTACTTTCTCCAGCCCCGTCCCACCTGCTTACAGTTACAACCTAGTAATCCATTCAAATCATTAATTCATCAAATGGATTAATCCACCAATTCAATTACCACTTTTCATAAACTCATCATTCACCTCTAAACACTCCTGCCTTGCCTACTGTGAGTTCTTTTGGGGGGACGCCTCGCATTCAGACCACAACATCTTTATCAGTTTAATGTTTTTTTAAAGAATAGGAATCAATTTTAATGAGAATAAAAAGCAGCTACTGTGTTGGAACGAGCTCTGCCTTAAGGAACTACGTTTCAAATAGTGACCACATATATGATATATGGGGATTACATGGTTTCCTCATCAACAAAGCAATACATAAGGGCGAGTAACACACAAGGGAAACATACAGTGGAAGGAGAGGATGGTTGCAGAGCTTTAGAATTTACCTGATACATCAGCCCTCTCAGCTCCTGATGCTTGCAAATGTGAGGAACCCCAGGTCTAAGCTAAAGTCAGCGGAGGTGGCAGATTTAAACAGGAATGGGCACTGCTCAGGTGCTCCCTGTTCCCTCCAAAATAGTTATTTTCAAATTCAGAGAGCATTGGACTCACAGGAGAGCCTGTTAAGGCAAACATTCCCAGACATGTCCCCAGACACTGATTCTGTGACTCTGGGGTATGGCTCATAAATCTGCACTTTTAAACAGGCTCCTGGGGTGAAAACAGACTTTTAAGAACGCTGCTCTAAGGGAAGCTGAGAGGTGGACTGGGTCTCCTCTGCCCAAGAAGTGATGCTTGTCCTCAATCAGAACAATGAATTTCAGTTGTATTTCCTAAAGGGAATTTAAAGGGATTCTTCTAGTAAGGGAACTTATAAAGTCAATTACAAGGTTAATTGCTCAGAACTGAACTCATGTTAAGGAATGGTCTAGATGTGGATTCTTAACTGCAGAGAAGAGAAAAAAACATCATGGCCATTTTGCTGTAGTAAGACCATGGCCGGGTAGTCCCTAGGGTCTGTACAGTGATTAGCATTTTGAGGGATCCTGGTTCTCCCAGCACTGTGGTCCCGTGGTCAAGAGCAACATGAAGGGAACATATCATGGTTTTCTTCTTTTTACCCTTATGAGTACTTGGGTGACCTTCCATCAGGTGGAAATGAGCTTGGAATCTCTTAGAATAAGGAACACAGAAATTAAACTATTTAGACAAAACAAATTATTAACAATAAATATTATCCAGGCCTAGGTTGTTTCTTTTAGCTGTTATTTTTTTGCCTGTGTACTGGACAAAAAGCTCCATATAAAATAGAAACTCAGGGGAAATGGGGAAATGTTGGTTAAAGGGTACAAACTTTCAGTTTTAAGATAATAAGTTCTGAAGATCTAATGTCCAACGTGATGATTGTAGTTAATGATAATGTATTAAATGTCTGCAGTTTGTTAAAAAAGAACTTAAATATTCTCACCACAGAGAGAAAAAAACAAAACAAAACTGTGGTGATGGATATGTTAATGAGCTTGATTGTGGCAAACATTTTACAACGCACATGTATATCAAAACATCATATTTTATATATATATATATATATATATATATATATATAATTGACAAAAACTGGATACACACACACACACACACATACATATTTATCTCTCTCCAGTTTTTGTCAATTATGCCTCAATAAAATTGGGAACAAGTAGGGACTTACACACTTATCCCAGCCCATAGCCACGGCCACTTTCTCACTCTCTGCTGTCTTTCAGATCTGTTTCTTGTCCTTCCAGGTACTAGTCTTGTCTGTGCTCTTCTCAGTTTGTTTCTGGGCTTAGGATATTTGTTCCTCTTGATGATAATTCTGATTATTCACTTAAGTTGCTTTGCCTCTTGTCATCTCAAATATCCACTGTTTCCAGCCCACCCTTATTCTAAGAGATTCCAAGCTCATTTCCACCTGATGGAAGGTGTTCTGCCCACTAAGGTGCCCCATCATCTGGCCATGCTGGTGTGTGCTGGTGATATTAACTATAATACCACTGATGAAGTACATGGTTACCAGTGACCAGGTACTGTCTCTCCTCCTTTTGCCTGTCCTACTTTGGTCTTACGTGCTTAGACATTCCATACTTGGCCTGCTTCACTCTGTGTTTTCAAAGGACTAGTGAAGGAATGGCAAGTGGGTCTCTTCACACATACCAATTCTAAGCCATTGTTAATGGATGCAGCAAGTGTGGTGTTCAGAACAGCACTAGATCTTGGTGTGTCATAATCAATTAGTCATGCCTGCCTTGGGTGAAGATATGTGTACGGTCTTGCATTCTAAGAGGGGGCCATCTTCTGACAGGATACTTTCTTCCTTTCTTCAGGGCTGATATATTAACTGAAAATGCCTCACAAGATCTCTTTGCATTCCTTTATTCAAACTCAAATCTTTCAGAATAGAAACTATTTCTAGTGCATTAGCATTTTCCATTCATTTTTGCTATAAAAATATCTGCAAAGTAGAAACTGCAAGAATTGTGTCTTTTCTCCAAAGAGAACATAATCTGCCAATGCCTTTGGCAGAACCCATTTTGTGCTTGTAGTGCGGGAATTGGACAAATCTTCCTAGCTACAGGTCAGAAATAAGTATAGCTTCTGGGCTGAATGGTATAGGGAAAACTGTTCCCTATTATTTAGTCTCTTCCTTCTGTGGCTGTTGCTTATCTTTTACCATCAATTGAAGTTAATGGTCTAGAGACAAAACTTAGCCTCTGTCTTAGAGCTGAAATGTGAAAACCCAAATCATGGGAGCTTGCTTACAAAATTGCATTCCTATTTTCCACACAAAATCAGTGTGTCCCACGTCCCAGCACTCTGACCGGTGTGTCATGTCTACAGAGTGTCATCTTCACATGGGAACACTGACTCAACTTACCTTGTAGTGGAAGAGAAACAATCCACAGAACAGGCTGTACAAATCCGCTGTGAGCAGAGAGAGGTTGACCGAGGTGGCGCTGGTTTTCTTTATGACAACTGGCATAAAGCTGTAGAGACCAAACATGCAGGCACTAAAGCCAACATAGAGCAGTCCTGGGGGAGAGTAAAGAGAGGAATGTCAGTGCCTCCTCCAGCATCCTCAGCATCCCCACTAGGAGGACCAAGAGGAATCTTGCACCAGACCTACGGCTCACCGAAGGCAGTTTTTCTTCCTCCATATTAATTTTGCTTGCCCCTATAAAAAGTACTTAAGGGTAAAAACTTATTTCTATATGTTTCAGATCCTATGTTTAACAAAAGTGACATTAGATCTACATAAAAATTTTGAGCACGAAGTAAGTAAACTTGGTACAATAGCCCCCTCTAGTGTGGAGGACATGCCCTTCACTCCAAGAGGAAGAGGGAAATGCGTTTTCATTATTTCAATAAGGTAGATCTTGTGTGTATATTCTGTCATAGTAATATCAAAAGGTTTTTGATTCTCCATCAGAAGTTTCAATTCTCTAAAAGTAGCCAATTTCCCTATACTTGGGTTTCACACTACTTGTAATTCATTTTCCTCTTAATCAAGTTACTAAAAATGCAATAAATACTACATAACCTATGACTAATACATGAAAAGACATAAAATTAATTCAGCATTTCTTAAAGAACTCTGTGATTAACAGACTCTGAACAGATCCATCTTTAAGTCACTAAAAATAATCAAGTTTGGATAGAATATAGTCCACACTATTTTTTTTTAAAGGGCATCATTGATTTGCATCATACCATGTCTGCGCTCCAATGTTCCAGAATTCTTCTACTTTTTATTCATATTACCTAGCATGCCCTGTGTGGATTCTGACTTGTGGGTTCTGATGTCTTATATTCACTCATTTACCCAACCAATATTTACTGAGTACCTTTTATACCCTAGGGACTCTGCAATGGGCTAGAAATACAATGAAACACAAGATGGACCAGAAGCTTAGGGTTGCTATTTGAGATCTGCAGGAGCGGGTAGTGGTTAGAAAAGGTGATTAGGTAAAGCTGCTTTGTGGAGATGACATATATCTTGAATGCTAATGGACTAAAAGGAGACAGTAGAAAGCAAGGGAAGAATATTTTAGGCAGGGAGATCTTCACATGAAAAGAACCTGAGAAGGGACAGGGTATAAAATCTTTGAGGAGCTGCCAGGGTCCAGAATGACTGAATGAGCAGTCACAAGAAATGAGGTAGGAAAATTAGGAAGAGGATGTATTATACCAATACTTGTGTCTTAGAAAAGAAATTTATGTCCTATTCTAGTTGCAATAGGAAGACATTGAGCAGTTTGTAGCAGGAGTTTAAAGTAATCTGATTTTCATTTTTAGATTACTTTGTCTACTCTGTATAGAGCAGATGAGAAAGAAGAAAGCCTGGGAGGAGACCAGTGGAAAATTCAGTATCCTAGCCCAGGCACGAGAGATTAGTGGCTTGCCTGGGCTTGCTCCCAATGGCAGGGGAGAAGAAGGGAGGAGGCTAGATCTGTGAAGACTCAACAAACCCTAGTGAGGGACTGAAGGTGGGTAGTGAGGAAGGGGAGGTATCAAGGATGCTATGAGTTCTAGCTAATTTAGAAACTAGGTGAATTATGATAGTATTTACTGAGATGGAAAGAACTAAGGGAGACTAGGTTTTCAGGGGAAATAAAAGCTCCATTTTGAAAGTCAAATTTTAGATGCTTATGTATAATCCATGAGGATTTGTCTATTAGAGAGCTGGATAAGTCCTTGGAGGGCTCAGAGAAGAGGTGTGACTTTACAAGCACACTTGCTAAACCGAGAGAGTAGAAAAACTGGTATACAGCAGACTTTCACTCTACTAATCAGGCTAACTCAGACTGCTACCGGCTTAAACATATTTTTTAAAGCTGCAGAAATTAAATATAGGGGGACACAGTGGAATAGATACGCCATCCCAGTGGTCTGTTTTGTTAGGTGAACTAGTGCTTTGGTGTACGATTACCCTGTTTGTAAATACCGCAGTCAATCAAATGGACACACTGTTAACAGGAGAGTTGGCCTGCAGTCCCATAACAGGAAGCCATGAACCCAGTCAAGGGGCCTCAACTGTCTACACCTCAGATTCATTGATAAAAAGAAAGGTGTACCCTTAATTAACTCCAAGATTCGCCCTGCTATGTGGTCCCATTATCCTATCTTCAAGGGAAGGCCAAATCTTGATTGGCCTCCTTAAAACAAACAAAACAAACAAAAAAGGAATCAAACCACAACATCAAGTACTGAACCCCAGTACATTTTCTTTCCTACGACATTTGACTTTCACCTTAGCCTGGCTTCATTCATACATCCATTAGTACAATATGGCAAATGGGACAAAGGGAATATTTAAGTTATTTACTGGACTTCCAGCTGTGATTCTAATGTTTCTGCTCCCCAGGAGCATGCTTCAGCTGGATCAGGTTGTATATTTTACTTGAGTTTACTGTTCAGATAATCACAGCCAGTCTTGGTGTTCAGTAGAGTAAAACAAAGGAATAAAAACTATAAGAAGTAGTATCTTGCTTTTAATCATTCTGTATCTTGCAACTGTCCCACACTGTAGGAAATTACAATCTGATAAAACTTTCTTCAAGTCCAGAAAATATAAAACATTTATCCTTCCGTCTACTCTAAGGAAAAAAAAGATTTTTTATTTTGATAAAGTAAAAACCATATGAGCTGTCCAAGAGATTCTAAGAGGTAGATCAGTGTTGTGGAAAGAGGAAGGAGAGAGATTCACTGACAGATGATGGAAAATGAAGAGAGACTCAGATTATGTTCTTTTACCCCAACCAATATGAGTTCTTCAGAGATCAGAACTTGGGCCACTCTTGGGTGACTCCCCAAGGAGTGTGAGGAAGGTGAGATGATGCTGACCACCCTTAATGTTCCCTGCCTCTTTGGTCTAGGAGTGGCAGTAGGTGCTATTCCATGTCCCAGTTCCCCAGACAGAAACTGCAATGTCTACCTAAAGTCCTCCCCTTAACATTGTCTCCACCACTTCCCATTTGTCTATATTTTATGAGATGGGAGAAGGTAGAATGGCATCCATCTTCTTTGCTGATATTCATTCATTTGCTCATTTAGCAAACACTACAAACACTAATTCATAGAGCTAACTGGACATAACTTTCTTAGCCTTGTATTTGAATACACAACCAGGGTAACTCTGCATCATGTACAATCACAAGAGTGGAACCCTAAATAGAAGTTATACTCTTGTACTTACAATTTGCCAAAATATATTCTACTGTTGTGTATAACTAAAAAGAACAACAAAAACAACAACAATAAAAACACCTTCTCTGATAGCCATGTGCCCACAATCAAGCTAAACAAGAAAAAGTATGTAGTTGGCCAGTGTGAGGACAAATGTGGCCCAGGCATCACAATTTCAAACCCAACCCTACAAATCCTTCAGAAAGAGAAGGATGGATATTTGATTCCCCTTCTGGGCCATTTGGGCCTAATTTCCAATCAAGAATTAAATGGATGACTGTGTAATGTGTTCCTTTTACACTGTCTTCATCATCTTGAACTACAGAGGACTGACATTTTAATGGCAGTCTGGGAGCTTAGGATAAAACTATCTTTTGATGACACATTTAACTAACACAGAATTATAACAGAGCCTCGGTGGACATGCACATGACATCCACATAATTAGAGGAGAAGTTCTTTTTGATCATTATTACTAAAGTCAATATCAAATTAATTCATACCCACAGACCACTGCATGTGAAGTGCTACTAAGCACAAGTAACATTTGAGAGTTGTGGCTTTGAGAATCACAAGGCAAATTTGCTTCTATAACCTGCAGCTGCTTTCCTTTCCTGGCTGCCCCCCTCTGCCTTCCCCATCCTCTCCTCTCTACTCATTTTCATTTAATTATAACATCCTATACATACATTTGAGGAAAAATAAATCACAGATCTTTGATGATATAAGGACTGAGCAGCCCTTGAAATCACTAGTGATATCCCTTCGGGGATGTCACATGCACTGCCATGGCTCACACGTGCCTTCAGAGGAAATGATGTCCCCAGCAAGGTGGATCTGGAGCATAGGGGCCCAGAGGTAGGTAAAGTGATGCAGGGGACTTTATGTCCTTGTTCTCTTCCCTTGTCAAAGGAAGCTGTCAGTTGTGTCAAATCTATATAGGCTGGAGATGGCTTGAACAGCAAGCTCCAGTGTTGTAGAAACATCTGTATTTTTTTGCCTTCCATTTTCATTCATTCTGCACACATTTCTCAAGCGCCTCTTGGCTAAGCCAAATTCCATGTTCACTACTGGGACCCGTGTGCCTCCGGATAGACATGGAGGATACCTGCTGAGGGCATTCAATGGCAGTCCCTTCACGGGCTTGCTCTGCGATCGATCATTAGAGCATCACCTAGGATTTGAAATTCTTGTCCTCAATATTTTAGAGGAAAGTGATTCTAGAAACAGGTGGAATATGATATGCTCTGGATGACTATTAACTAGCTCAAAGCATGTCTGGTATTTTCTAGGTTCATTTGGATACCAAAAGGATTAAGGATTTCTAATGTGCAAACTGCTCCTTTCTGAAAAGGTTTTTATGGGCTCAGAATGCCCATTACATTGTTTCATTTCATGCTTTTTTGTTAAGTTCAGTTTTTTCCCTTTTACTAAAGTGCCGCTTTTTAATGATCACATCAGTTTTGTGCTTCCTGGCTAGACAAAATTGCTGTCATTTCTGTGCTACCACTGCCTCAGGGCATTTTCCTTTCTGGTTGGTCTTTAACCTAATAACACACTTCTGTGTCTATCCACCATAATGGCACCTTGACAGTGATAATGTGAAGAAGCTCAAGTAGGAAACATGATGAATTACACAATCTGGTCTCTCACAGTGTACAGGAATCCCTGAAATGAAAAGGGATTTCACCATCTTTTCCCCCTGCCATTCAAAATCCCTTCCTTGTTCATGCACTGCGCCCAGTCACATCACTCTTAAGATTGCTAAAAACAGTATCTTAGGTGTGCAAACTTCTTACCTATTTGCCAATCCCAGGGCACCTTTAACAGCTCCTTATGCTCCATAATAGCTCTGCAAATTCAAAGAAAGCAGACCTGATGAGCAAGATGATAATTTGTTCTATTTTCTCCCTTCTCTTGATTTGCCATATTTATACAAATAATAAAACAACCAATTGAATTTCAAAAATAACTTTGAGCCATACAGAGGCAGCCTGTGATCTTGCCAAGAGTGGCCAGCAGTGGTGAGAGCTTCCTGGTGGCTATGGTAGAGCTCAAGACTCCACTGTCCTCAAATAGTCCACCCAGATCCTTTGTTCCTTCTCACTCATGTGCTTTCTAAGAAGCAATTGCCCAGATTCAGAAAATTTCTATGCTTGCAGCTTTAATCAATTTTCTGATTGGCCATTTTCTAGAGTAGTAGTTCTCAAGGATAAAAGTATCTTAAAGTCATCTGGAGACTGTGTTAAAATACCACTAGAGAGCCTGATTCTGCAGGTCCAGGTGGGGCTCCAGGAGATGCATTTTTGACAAGCTCTCCTGCAATGCCAGGACTGCTGGTCTGAGGACCATACTTTGAGAACTACTCAATAGAAGAGGACCAGGAGGTGAGGCTGGCACCACTCCACCAGCATTGCTTTGGTGCCAGTGTGCCTTCAATTATCCTATTTGCTAAACAAGCCTTTATTTGGCAACAAGTGTCCCTCAAAGGGCTCAGTCATCAATAATGGGCTGTAACTGAAGCAAATGAGCACTAAATCTCTGAATATATATTTTGGATTCAAGTATAATAAGCCATAACATGAGCCATCCATCTACAGAACATTGGCTATGAATAGCTGATCTAGAAAATTCATTCTCCTCTCCCAAAGTTCAAACACCAAACTTAGGAACTTTAAAATGCCACCACAGTTTCAAACTAAGTTCTTCTCAGATAGTCTTTCCCACCTCTATGCTTTGTTTGGTGAGTTTTTTCACCAGTATTCAGGATGCCAAAATCTGGAGGCTGGCTAGAAATAGCCTATATACAAAACGTGTTTAAGGTGATGCCACATTATCTTCCATTAGTAATTTAAGATGTTGAACCAACACAATTACAAAATACTTGCTTTGTGGATAGAATTTGATGTGAGAATTAGTCATCTGTAGAAAAGGATTTGGTGAAATTAGACTGGAAGTTATACTACCATTCTTTACTTCTTACATGAAACTAAAATGTATGTTCTGTACTGATGGAAAATTATGATTTGACACTTATTCTCACAACAAATTGAGGTACTGCATAATTCATTAAGTGATGATTTATATGCACTAATTCCAGGATTATTACAGAACTTGTGCTTTTGGTTTTTTTGAAGCTTAATAAATATTGGGTTACACTTTCATGTTTTTAAGGAAGATGGAAATACTTAACTCTAAGAAATGAATTTGATATATGATCCATGGGCAATAAAAAACAAGTTTATAAAAGGGCAACTTACAACCAGAGGTTTCCTAGTGGTTATCACTAGTAAACAGAATGTCCTTTTGTGGAAGTAACACTGAATTGTGATATTTATGCTTAATTTTTCTACTTCTCTAAATAATAACATGCTTACTAGGTTGGAAGAATGGATGCATTTTTAATGCTTTCTTGAAAATTATTTTCCAGGCCTATTAAGTGTTTTATAATTTATAGAAATGTGTGTAGTTTGAAGGAAATTTACTAATAAATATACTTTGCACATTTCATGAGAACTTTGTGTGGGAAGTTTGTGACTGCTTTTCTGCCTTGATTTTTATACTTTTAAGGACAAAAACTTTAAGAATAAGTTCCATTTATTTGCTCCTTGAATTTTTTGTTATTTTTTACTCACAATTGGATTCCACTGAAAAATGCACCAAAGAGACCAATCATTCCCAGGAATTCCACTCGGCTCAAGGTTCGGATGATGTATTCTTCCCAGACGTTAGAGATACCATAGAGTGTGGCTCCGCCTAAGACCAGAAGGTCCCCTACCAGCTTATTTTCCCCTAGGAACCAAAGAGAATAGAGTGAGCCTCATTAAAAGTTTCTTAATAAGGGAATCTGGCTGCAGCAAATGGAGCTTCCTTTGCCCATTCTATTCTGACATTTTTATATGAAGTCCTGCGATTTCCAGTTGAGATGGAGTAAAGATTTTTTTTTTTTTTATCTGTACTCTCTCTCTCAGTGTGTTCTGATATAAAAAAGGTTTCCTATCTAGACACAACCAGAAGTTTTCCCTAATCAAGAAGGGGACTCAGTTCTTTCAAATTGATTCTCTCCATCAAGTTCAATGACTGCGGTCCAGTTACGTGTCTGTGAATACATGCTGATGTGTGCATGTGTTCTTTTTGTTTCAGGGGAGTGAACTTGGCTTAGAACAAATAGGATCAATTTCCTCCCCTCTGCTCTACATGGTGAGAATAAATGGAACAGAGCAGGCAATACTACATTTTGACCATGGGCAAAATGTGCACATACATGGACAATGAGATTAAGAGGATTTATGAGCTGAAAATTTTCAAATATCCTGAAGAAAATAATGTATAATGCAGTATAACGTTAATATTTTGCTTTTTTTTCCATCAAAAAAGTAACTTGTTTTAAACTCAATTTTGTTTTGAGTCCAATTTTTAATGAATGTTTCCCCAGTATTTCCTGTAATTAGGTAAATTCTTTCCACTCCAGGAAGAGTGGAGGTAGGGAACAGGGGAGTTGAATCAGCGGCGGCAGGGCCTCACTGATGGGCTCTATACCCACGTGGCCTCTGGCTCTAGGCTGCAAGAGTTGGCAGGCCAGAAGCTTAGCTGATGTGGCACTCTGGGGCAATGTGAGGTGTGGGGATGAGAAGGTGCTCACTCTAGCATGATTCTCAGGAAGGGACTCACCTGGACTAGCCTTGGATTCCCGGATTAGTTGGAACAATCTAAAACTGTAGAACTGGGCTCTCAATTGGGAGCACAGGGCATATTCTAGGTAGAGGTTTCACATGAGAGCCTCTAGGCAGGGCTTGAAAGAACTCTGTGTGGTCACCTTGGAGCATTGGGTATCTCCTCTAAGTGGTGCCACTTTTTCTGAGGCAACGTCCCATTCCTGGTAGGGATTGGGGAGAAAAAGGAAGAGACTCTGAAAGGCAACAGTTTGCAGAGTCTATTCTCAAGGGAGTGGAGCTGAGAATGAAATTGTAAGGGCTAGGAGCTTTCCCTGGGTCCCTGGGGAGCTAGTCATTGCTATCCAGCAGATGAGCTGAGAACTTAATGAGGTCTTGGTGAGAAACCAGACCAGGTAGAAGATCCCTGCAGGCATCTTCTGGGGAAGTTAGGGTTGCTATGACAGAGTGTGAAATCTTCAGCAAGCTTTTATGTGTCAACTAAAAAAATAATGAAAAAATTTAAGAGGTTCATTTGAGGAACAACTCATAAGATAAAATATACCTATAGCCTGAACTATAATGAACACAATTGAGTGTCTTTTCATTCAGGAGACATTTAAGAATCTTGTGATGACACAAAGTCATTATTATGAAAATCACTTATCATTACACTAGGGGAGTATGCAAGGTCTACTTAGTAGAATTCTTGGTCAATACAATTAATTTTAAATGACTGGATTAAGGAAAGCTAAATCATAATGAAATGTTTTAGTGGGAATTAGGAGAATATCAATTCTACCTTTTAAAAACCCTAAGAAGACACACTGTTTTGGTGAATAGTCTTACCAATTTTTTCAAATTTCACATTTGTATAGCTGTGGACTACTCCATGAACTGACCTTCACTATAAGAAATGTATTCACCAGTACTTTGAGTCTCAATAATTCAGTGATAATTTTGGATAATAAGAATTCAATTCTGTGTAAGTGCAATTTCAGAAATATTTTCAGAGTTACCAGTGATAAAAAGATGAAATAATATTTATTAGAATTTTAACTGTTAATTATATTTATCAGTTTGTAAGTAATTCTGAAGTAGATCCATGTGCATATAGCATATGCTATAATTTGAATCTTAAATGTCCCCCCAAGGTCCCTGTGTTGAAGACTGGGTCCCCAGCTTGTGGTGCTTGCTATGGAGAGGGGTCAGTGGGCATGGAACCTTTAGGAAATGTGACCTGGAGGAAGGAAGTGAGGTAATTGAAGGCGTGCCCTTAAAGGGGGTATTGAGACCTAGCCCCATCCTCTTACTCTCTTTGCCTCCCTACCACCATGAGGTGAAGAGGCCCCGTCCACCATGTGCTCCTGCCATGATGCACTGTGCTACCACAGGCCCAAAGAAACAGGACCAATGGGTCAAAATCTCTGAAACTGTGGATCAAAATAAACCTTCCTTTTTTATTTTAAGTTGATTTATCTACAGTATCTGTTACATTGATGCAAAACTAACATGGCATGTTTGAAAATTTAGTTGATTAACCACTACATAATTTTATACAACCATATTATATAATGAACTGCTTTATATAATAAGGGAACTAATATTTTGCATCTAAAATTTGTGTCTAATTAACTGGAAATCACTATGTACTACTCCATATTTTATGAAGTTAATGTAGTAGATCCTGATGTGGCGGTACTAGTTCATTAAAAAAGTTTCATGGGTTAACACTGGGCAAAGGAAAGCTATCATCTCTGTGTGCATAAAGATACATCAAGTGATAACATTTTCTAAATTTTGAGTAAATGGGAACATTTGAAATGATGAAATGTTCATCTAACCTGAAACTTCTCTTCCTCCTTTGAATAGCGTACCATTGATATCTAGGCACCTACTGTTTTCCACTCCATGCCTGTGACTTGTTAACTTCCTACCTGTTCTCTTACAAATAGGGTTGAAGGGCATGGATTCTCACTTAGCTTTATATTCTGAGAATGAATCTGGGGAAATAATGCATTCTCAATAAATATCTAGGTGAACTGAGCTCACTGAAAAAGTCTGAATTCAGGTAGAGTTGGGAATAGTCACACCTCTGTCACTTACTAACTGTATAATATTGAACTAACTACAGGGTCTTTCTAAACTTCAGTTTCCTTACCTTAAAATGTGGTTATTGTGAGAATAATAATACATGTAAAATGCCTAGCATAGTATCTGACACTAAGTGTTCACAAGTAGAAGCTAAAAAGTGAATCAATCATTCCCTTTGAATAATCATCTGTCTCTTTGTGTTGGGCCTTTCTCATTTTGGATTACTGCTTAATTCTAATCAACCAAGTCATAATTGTTTTTCAGGAATTGGTTTTCCAATTATTAGCTTTTGATTTTTCTTTTCCCCTCTTGAGATAGGATCTTACTATGTTGCCCAGGCTGCCTTCACAAACCTCCCTTTCAGCCTCCTGAATAGTTAGGATAATCGTCATGTACCACTGCACATGGCTTCCTTATTAGATTTTTGTTTAAGCACCAGAAATATCATGTTTGGAGGGATATTTGTGCACATATAGTGATAGAAGGAGAAGAGAAAAGGTTGTTAAGATCTAATGATAAGTTATATTATCCTGGAATACTAAAGACTATTAGTACAACCCACGTAAAGGTTCTCATACCACTGAATACATTTGAGTCTCAAATACTGGAATCATTTGTTTTGTTTTTCTGGAACTCAATTTGAGCTCCAAAGTCTGACATCTGGGGAATTTTCTCCACTCTGCGCAATTCTGGAAGTTGTTCACCCTAATTTACTATATTAATGAAACTATATATTTCTGGCTAGATTTCACATCTGGGCCAGATGATTTAATAACAGGCACTCTTACATAAAAGTTTCTTATCTTCTCTGAGCCTTGATTTCTTCAGCTGCAAAAAAAATGAGAATAAAAATTCTTTGCACAGTTAAGATTAAGATAATACAAGAAAGCACCTGACACCAGTGGGCACTTGACCAAAATGTCACTTTTATTTGTGTCTAATTATCTGGCTCCTTGAAAATACTTTCTTTCTCTTGAAATATATATATAAAATTATGTCTAATAAAATTGTTGTTATGGGTAACTAACATCTTTGATAAATGAACTAAATGCAATGGATGTTTTATGGTAGAGAATACTCTGAAGGGCAAGGAAATATGTTTTATAATAAGGAGCTATTTTAATTGTATTTTATTTTAATCCTGTTACCTTCTAACCTTCTATTTTATATCCATAAGTTTTCCCAGGGAGGTAGAAGTCATGGAGATATGTCTCTTGAGCTTTCCCAAGCCATTTTTATGTATTCCAACATATATAATATTCTCAGAAGCAATTTCCCTTGCATCTCTCTCCCAGCCCACAATGATAACAGCAGTGATGATCTCTCAGAAGGGGACTTTAAAACTGACATGAAGCTCAGATGGCACAAAGAGGCTATATATATTAGGACCACCAATATTTACTGACCAACTTGGAAAAGACACCTCCTTTCATGTGAGCTCAAAGGTGTGGGAACTTCCTAGGGTGGGTGCTTAGTTTCTGTGATGGGCACGGAAGGAGAACACAAGTGTCATTTTTGTCTTCCCACTATGTATGCCACTCACAGGCTAAAAGGCAGGGTCTCTCTCCCAGGCCATGACTTAGATGCCTTCTCTTTACCTCTGTCTACAGAAGGCAGACTTGATGGTCAGGTGTCTGTACCAGCACATCCCAGGTACATCATCCTAAGCCCTGACATTTATGTTTTGTATCTGGAGGGCCTGATGCCATTTGAGAAGCTTCCTTCAGAAAGGTTAAATCCAATGAGTAATTACTAGATAGTGGGTGAAGAGACATGCTGACAAAGCAGAATTAAAGCAATTACCTTAATTATAATGAGGTCAAAGTAACTGAATGGGCCAAAATCAATGTGCTGGGGGAGAGAACTGCCAAAATCCTAAAGTAAGGTGAAACATGGATTAAACAACATTAAAAAAAGGTCAGACGTTCTTTTATCCTGTGAGAGGCCCCTGATAAAGTGATGATCATTAACATAGAGCTGAACACATCATTAAAGTTCTAGAGAGTGCCTGAAGTATTGTGGAAAAGCTCCGTGTCCTAGGCTAGTTAATACAATTGAATCAACTCTATGCTAATGATACAGAAAAAATGGGGCAGTGTATTTTTGGTAATGATACACACCACTTTTAGGATGATATTGATCTCAAAATCAATGTGGGGTTTTCCCTTCTTAAAAAATACTTTATATGATAGCTTAAATTGCCACCAAATTTTATATTTTTATTGAAGCAAAGTATGTCCAAATGACCCCTTTCATTCTATATCTGGGTTGGCCTTAAAATATCATCCCATGTACTTGGTCACCATTTCAATAGCACAGAGGGGCTCTGTGACAATAGTTTAATTTTTGTTAACACTGGTGCTTTAGAAGTCACAAAGGCAATAGTGCTGTGGGCCTGACTCACATGGGCAGATGAAATACCACTTGATGTTTTAGCCATGTCCACATTAAAAAAGAAAAAAAAATGACCATTTTGAAAAGGTCCTAAAGGACTGTCTTTTTCTTAAGTTGTACTACTTTTCTAACACTTCTTTTGAAACCAGAAAACATTTTTTAATAGGATTAGTGTATACAATCCATGTTAACATTAGAGGCTTAAATATTCAGATTTATCAGGACAAGTGATCTCCTTGACTGTGGAATGTAAGATGATGGCCAGGATGGCCAGGATTGGTAGAAAGATTTTTTTTTTTAAGGATACAGAATTTTTCTTAGTCTGTGTTTACATAATACCCAGAAAGCTGAGAAAGTGTATTTAAATTGAAACTTTAGGACTGGTCACATTGCATCAGATAAAAGTACCATCTGATTAGTTCAAAAGAGATTATTCATATCGAGATCACTGATGACATGTAAAGACACAAATTTGGCCCTTTGATCCGGTATCTATTGATATTCTTGGAATCAGTGTTTCACAGGGGAGAACTGGAAAATGCCAGAGTGTGTACTGTTAGACATCTATCTGTTGAGGTGGAGAATGATAATGTTGTTCAGGCTGTGGTCCTAGGAGGCCAAGACTGTCCCTCTTTTGCTCTGTCTTGTGTCATTAGCCCCCAGCAACAGGAACTTTGGGGTCTAGTTCTTGCTGTCCCAGCTCTGTGACTTTGGTTGCTCTTATATGTCAAATATAAAGAAGGTGAACAAGGTCCTTTCTTGCTCTAAAGTTCTATGGGGCAACATAAATGACATCATTTTGGAGACTTTCTATGACCTAGTCTCATAAAGTGCAATGCCCCAATTTTTAGTTTTTATTATCTAATTTCCTAAGAAGAAAGGGCAATTCCAAGAACTATAAAAAAGTAGAGACTTTCTATCCCATGCCTGATGTTAACATAGGCAGTCATTTTTTTCATGTTCCCCAAACCCTTCTGTATTACAGGATCTTGGTGTATTTTAAAGAATTACAATGCTTTTTAAAGTATCTTCTGGAAATCTCTTGCATCGGGGCTTCCCAATAGGTTCACAGAAATCTGATGAGTTAATCACGAAGCTTCATCTTATGAATCATGAAACTTCACCCACAAGCTGTGATTAATATCAGTAGCCCCTCCCTCACAACAAATAAACAAAAATCCATGCAAGAGGAGATGGTACATAGCTCTTCCTTGTAAAGATATCCCACACTCCTGATCTAGCCTCTAAAGGTTAAATACCCACACTTATGCTAAAAAGCCAACTTTCATCTGGTAGTTTGAAAGCCCAGTCTTTCTCTGACTTGGCAGAGGAAGGGCTGGGGTATGGAGGAGTAGGGAGGAGTGTGGAACACTCTGTGCTCCTAGAATGAACTGTCTCATGAAAACACCTCTCTCTAATCAGCTGGTCTGGGCCAGTAGCTTTGGCCTCCCAAATTTCCTCCGAGTAGATGGTAACTCCACTTTAAGCACTGTCTGCAGGTTTCTGAATTCACCTGCAGGCATAATGCCCCCTTCATTCACTCAAGAAACATTTATTAAGTACTTCCTGCATGCCAATATTTTAGGTGTGGGGAACAAACACGAATAGGACACAGACACTGGCAAGACCAGGTTCCTAAGATCCTTGTTTCTCCCAATCACAAACATTCCATTTCTTGCTTTGGTGTCCCCTGCAGAGGTCACCAACCTGGTGACCACCCAAAGACTCACCTGCTCCCTGATGCCTTCCCACGAGCACATCGGCTCCTACCATGCAGCCCATTCCCAGGATGCAGACAACAATGCCGATGAAATGCACAGCCTTGTACCGGATCAGCAGGAAGAACCAGGAGAGCAGAATCACCACTGGGATCACAAAACAGTCCAGGAGCTATTGGAGGGAGGAAGGTACATAAGAGGAGGTTCAGGAGTGCTGTACTTGTCACTGAGGAAGCCATGTCACTAATTCAGCTCTGTAGAAAATATTTCCCCTGAACCTGAGTTTTTATGTAGACCCAGAACTGATTCAGTTAAAACAGAACTAAATGCAAGTTAACTTTAATTTTTCACTTTATTGTAAACATCCCATGAGCCTTGAGGGAAAGAAGAAGGCAAATCAATAAGGCAGGTTGGCAGTGAAATTTCTCCTGCCCCTTCTGGGGTGAGGGCAGCATTGCCTCCCTCTTCTTCAGAGCCCTGGTGGTCTCCACTGGAACACTTAGGCACGCAGAGGAAAGATCCAGTCATTTTACATGATTCCATTACTTTAGGAACAGATCTCAGAATGGAAGGTGAGGGTATTAGAACGTTTATTTAATTTAGAATTTAGACAGAACTTGAACTTAATTTCTCCCAGACAATTGTCTCCTTACTACCAGTAAGAGTTACTTAGTCTGTCCTTGTCATTTTACTCTTAAAAGAAAGAAATGCTGTGCCAGGTGCAGTGGCACAGGCCTATAATCCCAGCAACTCAGGAGGCTGAGGCAGGAGGATTGCAAGTTTGAGATCAGTCTAAGCAACCTAGCAAGACTCTGTCTCAAAAATAAAACAGGCTGGGGATGTAGCTCAGTGATAGAGTACCCCTGGGTTCAATTTACAGTAGAGAGAGAGAGAGAGAGAGAGAGAGAGAACTCTAAATATTAATACAAATATTAGTCTTAAAGCTTTATAAATAGATTTAAATATTATTGTTTTGAAAAGTTTGAACAAAAAGTAGAAAAATAACTTTGACTTCATTTTTATGCACAAGAAATTAGATTCCATGTGACACGGAAGCCCCCAGAGTTGGTGCAGTTTGCCTCGATCACATAGAGATGTAATATGGTGAAATGAGAAGATCCCACATCAAGAGTCAAAAAACCTGAATTGGTGAACTAGGGCCCGACTTGTAGCTGTGTCCCCTTGGGTACTCAGAAGCTCCAGATTCTTATTAGAATGAAGACAACAATTCCACCAACTTTCCCCAGCGATCAGTGTGAAGCTCAGAGATAATACATAATCAAAGTATTTTGTACAGTGTGAGATGCTCAATGCCTGTTTCCAAACATGTGTTCTGTGCTGCACAGAACTAACTCTCAATGTCACCCCTGGAAAAAACTCTGGATACACTAACCAGGGCAGGGTCTACAAGAGATAAACTAATGTCCCGGAGAACTTCAGACTCCATGTGCCAAAGAAGAAACTTGTGATTTATCCTGCTGCTCAGTGCAGCTCCTTGCTAGAATCTTAAGCAAGTGACTTTATCATATAGCAACTAGCATGGGTAGTGATCCCCCATGCTCCTCCACTCTCATGGCCTGCATCCTATTGATCACTAAGTTCTGCCACTTCCACCTTTGAAATGTCTGCCATGCCTATTCCAGCCCTGCTCTCCCACTTGTGCCAGCTACACTGAGCTAGCATCCTCTCCTACTTGCACCAAACTCTTCCTTCCTGCCTCAGGTCTCTCACTCACGAACCCCCAGCTTTTGTAATGTTGCACCTCAATTCTTGAATGTCCTGATTCCTTTTCCTTCAGATCTGCACTTGGGTGTTGCCTCCTCAAGAAAGCCTCTTGGATCTGTAGGTGAGGTCAGGTCCTGTTTGATGCTTTTGTTGCACTGTGCTTCTCCTTCATGCTGCCAGCTGCAATAGTACTGAATTAACATGGAGGAATTGGCATAATATCTGACCTCTCTCCTTACCTGGAGGTTCTACAGCCTGAAGGACTGTACTCCCACCGAGCAGAACACTGCTAGGATCATGAGAAGTATCCAATAACAGTTATTGATCAAATATATATGAAGATTTTTTTTTAATGATCAGAAATATCAAATTAGAGTCTCTAAAATTCATTAAAGGCTTGGATATTTGCAAAGTATCCCTGAATGTCAAAGTGGTTTCTTGGCAGTGTGAATAGCACTCAAAATTCCCTCCATCCCCAAAGCATTTTTGTGACCTGAGCAGACCCTCATGCATCTCTAGGCACTGGTCTTCCCCTTTGCAAAATGAAACAATCACTCAGAATGGAAAGCTGTCCCGGGGGTTGCTGTGAGATGATGAGGTTAAACTGAGGAAGCATCATGTGAATACTGAGCAGCACTGTGAGGCTGGGGCCTGGCCCAGAGGTTGTGGCTCTCCTGGAGGGACTTGGTGCAGGAGGTGGCAGCAGGTAGGATTGCATTGCAGCCCACAGTGGCTCACTGCACAGTTAATTAGCAATGTAAGTTAACGAGCCGACTTGATGTGGTAATAATATGTGCTAAGGCAGGTTTTACAACTGGCCTCAGATGCCGCTTATGTATATTAGGAAACTTCAGTTTGCCAGTGAAAACTGTTCACTTAAGCACAAAACAGTTGGTGATTTGTTCTTAAAATTAAAAATGATTGAATCAAGTTGAAATTTTTTTTGCTACATGCCTCACAACTGGGATTTCATTATCTGGCTGGAAGCCCTCGGTCAGTAGAGCTGAAGGTCTCCATTCCTGAATTATTGAGTGCAAACTAGGCCACTTTCCAATCTTCGAAGAGGGCTGAAGTGAGTCTTTTTGTTTCCAGTGTAATTAGAAACCTCCAAGCATTTGATATGTCCTGGGGTCTATTTCTTATTGATTTTAGCTAGAAAATCCTTATTTGTGTCTGGTGGTCCTGTTAGTGAGGGAAGGTTTTCCAGAAAGAAGGGAAAAAAAGCATACAATCAAGCCAGGGTTTCTGGGACATTTGAATGAGGGAAGGGTGGTGCTCAGCATACAGTGGGGCTCAGTAATTGGTGACTAAATGAATCAATGAAGGAACAGACCTGTAGTGTCAGTGACTGTCTGAAGGGACATTAGAGATAATTGACATTGATATTGGCATTTGGAGGAGGACAGTTTTTCATTTTGGAAGAATGTCCCATGCTTTCTGCAGGGTATTTAGCATTGTTGGCCTTGTCTATTAAAACACTCCTACACATTTACAAATACCCCCAAGGGCAATATCTCCCCAGTTTAGAATCATTGAGATCCCATTCTTTAAAAGGGGGGACATACAGTCACAGGAGGTGGAGTGATGTGCCCAAGGTGCCTCATATTATTGGCATCAGCAGTAATTATACAAGGGCAATTTTATGGTATTTTATTGGAGGTCAATGACAGGAACATTTAATTGTTACAGCTGGAGGTCTCACCATGGCATCTGTAACTACAGATAAGAAACTGTTTGGCAGCTGTTGTTTAGTAATTAGGCTATTATTTTTTAGTGATTTTTAGCCTCCAGACTTTCCCCTCATGGTCTTATAGCATAAGACATACCGACAAAATAATTTTCCAACAGTTTTCTGGTGGCTTGACTTCTTAGCAAAAAGGGTTACTAGAGTAATAAAAGAAAGAAACATCCTAAATAGCTGCCTACAACTGGGACTGTAAGAAAAGAAAAAGTAAACAACAACAACAATAAAAAAAAATGACCTCTGCTTTTTTAGAAGATTTAACTATTTTATATCCATTTCTCTATTCAAAAAGAAAGGAAAAAATATCACAGCAAAAGAAGAGATGAATAAATATTACTTTATAACTATCTTATAGCTCTAAAAAATCTCAGAGACCATTAAAAGTACTTCAGAAAGAAGAGTATTCATTGTCCTTAGGTTTACATAATGTATTCTTTCTCTAAGGATTTAAACCAATTTTACTCTCCTTATGTCATAAACCCTCAGCTCAGATAAGATATGCCAGACAGGTCTATGATCCAATTATCTGATTTTATTGATAGAGACACTGAGGCACATAGTACATGATGGCTGGGGCAACAACTCTGAAGCCCTGGTAACAGCACCAGCATTATTATTTATACCTTGTAGTTTTACATAACATTTGCAGAAGGTTGCATTAAGTTCACACTTACAGTTATGTTATTAAAAGATAACATAATTTAACAATTATGTTATCTTTTAATCTTCATAACAGCCCTTTAAGGGAATTATGACTGAACCCATTTTTTTTAATGAGAGTTCAGGAGTAAAGCCATTTAGTATTAGAATTGGGGCTAAAATACAAGTTTCCCAACTCTTAGAATAGAGTTCAAGTGCACCTTCTAGTAGTTATAGGTCCAAGATGATGCTTTTAGGATAACAGAATATGTACTTGTGTGTGTGTGTGTGTTTGTGTGTGTGTGTGTATGACTGTGGTATCATTAACTCTCTTCAATATTTCTCCTTTTTTTTCTTTTCCACTTTAGCTTATTTCTGACCATCTGTGTATTTCCCTACAGTCTTGGTTGTGCCCTGTCCTACACACACACACCATCCCTCCCCTCCTGCCAGGCCCCCCCCCCCTCCTGCCAGTGTCCCTCAAGCTTCTTTCCTTTGACCTGCTACTTCTATTTGGTAGTACTCCCTAGACCACCTTGTATTCTCCTTCAGACACAGATACTTCTTTTTAAATTTCTATTTATTTACTATTAGGGCATTATAATTATACCTAATAGTGGGATTCATTGTCCCTTTTCCTCTGTTCCTCCCCACTTCCCCAGGTCCCAGTCCTCTACTCTATTGATCTCCTTTCTATTTTTATGAGACTCCCCTCTACACCATTTTTTTTTTCTTTTTCCTCTTCAGCTTCCAAGCCTCTGCATTGTTGGTGGGTATCCCCAGTTGTATCCTGGTCTTGCAGAGTATTTTCTAAGTCTCTGGTCCACAGGAGGATGCATTCCAAGTATGGGATTCAGGGAGAGGCACAGGCCCTGGAACAACTGCATGAGGTGGAGGTGGAGGTGGAGGGTTAGCTCTACTTAGCAATTCCACCAGGGGCATAGGGTCTTTGCTGAGCAAATTCTGGGACATCCTCTCCCCGGAGGGGTGGAATGGGGAGGTCTAGGAGAAGGAGATAGAGGAAGTCTGCTGAGCCAGCAGTGTTCTTGCCTCATCCTTGCACA